GTAGCAGTTAAAGGTATTTCCTTTTGAAAGCCAAGCTGCAAGCTTTTTTTTTTTTTTTTTTAAAGCTTTAAAGACTGCCAGGCACCAGGACGGTTTTGTTTGAAAAAGGCCAAATGGCTAGAGACTGATGACTCTCATGGAAATGCAAAAGAGTAACTAATTCACAGACTCATCCAAAGCCCCTCTTCTGAAGTTGACAGTTTACAACCCTGCAGTTCCTGGAGACCATAGTTCTTTGAAAAACCTGATTTTGCTGAGTACAAACTTGTAAGATTCCAAAGGAAATATGTAATCAGTCAACACGACCCCCTCCCTTACCTAAACAAGGATATAAGACCCCGCTTCTCCTGTTCTGGGGGGCTCGATTTGGACGCATTAGCCCTCGAGCCTACCAGTGTAATAAAGTTGCCACTTCCTATAATAGTCTCAGTGTCACGATCTCTCTGTCTTCCCGCTACAACCGTTTTCCTTGGTCCTTGTCTTTCTATGTCGTTCTGTCATAATGAGAGGAATGGTTTTTCAGGTTACATCAGGTGACCAGTCTGAAAAAAATGGGAGTCTGAGACATGTGATTCCAAACAAGCCAACATCCTAAGGGAGATTTGTCCTAAAAGATCCCATTCTTATGGAGCTTTTGTCATCTTTTGCATAAAGAAACTTTTGTATTAAGTCACTATTAGAGTTAAACACACTATTTAAAGTTCTAATTGCCAGTGGCCAAAAGATAAATCCTTTAAATTAGACTAAACTTTCTAAATTAAAAAAAAATTATTTTCTAGAGATCTCTTATTCTAAACAATCGACGGTGCCAGGCATGGTGGCACATGCCTGTAATCCCAGCACTTAGAGAGGCCGAGGTGAAAGGACTGCTTGAGCCCAGGAGTTCAAGACCAGCCTAGGCGATATAGTGAGACCTCATCTCTACAAAAAATCCAAAAATGAGCTGAGTGTGGTAGTGAATGCCTATGGTCCCATCTACTTGGGAGGCCAAGGCAGGAAGATCAACTGAGCCCAGGAGGTCGAGGTTGTGGTGAGCCATGATTATGCACTGCACTCCAGCCTGGGTGACAGAATGAGACCGACTCAAAAAAAAAAAGAAAAAGAAAAAAAAAACAATTAATGGAAAGATCAAATTAAAAGGACATATAATAGTGTCATAGCTAATCTTAAAAATTATCTTGAGCCGGGCTCGGTGGCTCAGCCTGTAATCCCGCGCCTTTGGGAGGCTGAGGTGAGTGGATTGCCAGAGCCCGCGGGTTCGAGACCCGCCTGGGCAGCGAGACCTCATCTCTACAATAAATAAAAAAATTAGCCGGGCATGGTAGCACATGCCTGTAATTCCGGCTACTTGGAAGGCTGAGGCGGAAGGATTGCCGGAGTCCAGCAGGTCGAGGCTGCGGTGGCCGGGAGCGGCCACTGCACTCCAGTCTGGGCGACAGAGTGAGACTCCAACTCAAAAAAAAAAAAAAAAAAAAAAAAAAAATTATCTTGACTAAATTGAAGAACAAAAATCTGACCTAAAACAATTACACTCAAACTGCTTACTTTAGATTCCATATAAAATTAGCAGTGCACCGGGCTCAGTGGCTCAGCCTGTAATCCCAGCACTTTGGGAGGCCAAAGTGAGTGGATTGCCTGAGCCTGAGGGTTCGAGACCAACCCAAGCAACTTGGTGAAACCTTTTCTCTACAGTAAATCAAAAATTAACTGGGCATGGTAGTGCACATCTGTAGTTCCCGTTACTTGGAAGGCTGAGGCAGAAGTATCGCCTGAGCCCAGCATGTTGATGCTGGGGTGGCTATGAGTGTGCCACTGCAATCCAGTCTGGTTGACCGAGTGAGACTTCAACTCAAAAAAAAGAAAAAGGCTGGGCTCTGTGTGGCTCAGCCTGTGATCCCAGCACTCTGAGAGGCCGAGATGAGTGGATTGCCTGAGCCCACGGGTTCAAGACCCGCCCGGGCAACTTGGCGAGACCTCATCTCTACAATAAATCAAAAACTAGCCAGGCATGATAGCACGTGCCTGTAGTTCCGGCTACTTGGAAGGCTGAAGCAGAAGGATCGCCGGAGCCCAGCAGGTTGAAGCTGTGGTGGCCGGGAGCATGCCACTGCACTCCAGTCTGGGCGACAGAGTGAGGCTCCAACTCAAAAAAGAAAAAGAAAAAGAAAAAAACTAGCAGTGAAAGTTGCTCCACATTAAAGCCTAATAATTAAAATTCTCATTGCAGCCCAGATTCTCTTGCTAATCAGAACTCAGTCCCTTTAGGTTTAATGTTTATGTGACTTTTTAAATATCAGCTATTTGTCCCAACTACAATCTGGTAGTAAGAGATTAAAGGAATTGTTTAAAAGAACTCTGTGGTTAAAAGTCAGCTTAATTAAAAGCTAATAACCAAGGTATATACTGCAGGTAGCAACCAGTCGACCAGAATTCACACATGTCAGATCAAAGTAGGGAAGGACAGGTTTATCGAATACCATACACAGCAAGGGAACAGCGAGCAGGGCAGCCATAAAAGAGCTGTCTGCCCCGAGCCCATGGTTTGGGGTTGTTTTTATGCAGGAACTGATGTCTTTTCAGTTCCATCATGCAAATGAAGGATTGGAGCATGCAGTTCTGATTGGTTGATGTTTGGCTTTGATTGTAGGCAGCTCATTGATCATTTAGAGATTAACACAAGTGGCTCTGGTAAAAAGTGGCTTCCATACCCACCACCCCACCCCCCGTTCAACAGATCAACAATGCCAAATCTTTGCCACTTGGGCAAAGGTCTCATCTTCTGCAGCTGCTTTGTGCCAAACAGGGATGTTGCATTGGCCTCCCCCGGGATTATCGATGTTTTAGAGGTTCTTGTATGCCAGTAGGTTGGAATAAGAGAGTCAAATGAGTAGTCAGGGGAAGTTTGAGTAAAAATCCTTTGTAGCTTTGTCTAAAGGACTTAGGGGAAGTTCTGATGGATGGCATGGGCTGGAAACCTTGCTGACGTATCATCTGGAGATAGAACTGTTGGAGTCCAGAAGAGACAAACTTGATAAAAAGAGGAAAGAGTGGAGGTCCTGCAATTAGGAGGAAGAATACTGAAATGAGGGGTCCCAGAAAGGGAAGGAGCCAGGAAAGCCAAGATCATTTTTTTTCCCCAAGAATTCCATCCTTCTGTTGCCTGATCTTGTATCTTTTGGCATTATCTAAAAATGATCCAACGTGTTCTTGTACCTGTCCTGTTTGATTTACCCAAAAACAACATTCTTCCTTTAGCCTAACACAGACCACCCCCCACCGGTGGCAGTAATGAGTTCTAAAGCTATACAGTTTGGTAGGACTACGGCCACAAGGGAATTAATTTGTCCCTGGATAATATTGAGTAGGAATGCAATTTGTTTATTAATAGCAGCCAGTTACTGACAGGGAAGAGGGGCGGTCAGCTCATTGGGAGAAGTCAGTTCCTCTGGGGGGCAATAGGTCTGAGGCATAGTAAAAGGGAGGTCATCCAGAATGTCAGAAGAGTCAGTGGGTCCATGAAATTTAACAGGGCACGTTTGGCGATTTTTATGCAGGTCAGAATTTTGAAATAGAGCCATGAAAGGTTGGACATAAGGAACCTCAGGTCATTTAGAGGAGCTGCGACAGAAAAGATCAAGTTGCAGAATAGTACTATAGGCAAGAGTCCTGTTTAAGGGCAAAGCCCTGGCCAGGCACTGTGGTTCATGCCAGTAATTCCAGCATTTTGGGAGGCTGAGGCGAGAGGATTGCCTGAGCTCAGGGGTTCAAGACCAGCCTGGGCAACCTCATCTCTACAATAAATTAAAAAATTAGCTGGGCGTAGTTGTGCACACCTGTGGTTCCAGCTACTTGGAAGGCTGAGGCAGAAGGATTGCCTAAGCCCAACAGATCAAGGCTGCAGTGGCCGTGAGCGTGCCACTGCACTCTAGCCTGAGTGACAGAGTGAGATTCTGACTCAAAAAAAATGAATAAATAAATAAAAGGGCAAAGCCTCAGAAGGCTGTATTGAGGTCAGGCTATGGTGCATAAGAAGATTAAGCTGGGCATGGTGGCTCAAGCCTATAATCCCAGCACTTTGGGAGGCCGAGGCGAGAGGATTGCCTGAGCCCGCGGTTTCGAGACCAGCCTGGGCAACTTGGCAAGACCTCATCAAAAATTAGCCGAGTGTGGTAGCGTGCGCCTGTAGTTCCAGCTACTTGGAGGGCTGAGGCGGAAGGATCGCCGGAGCCCAGCAGGTCGAGGCTGCGGTGGCCAGGAATGTGCCACTGCACTCCAGCCTAGGCAACAGAGTGAGACTCCAATTAAAAAAAAAAAAGATTATACATTTCCTTTTGAGAGTTTGAGAGTCAAACTTATTTCAGTTCTTTAAGATATAGCCCAGGGGCAAATCTGGGGGGATAGAGTGGTTTTGTCCTATGATGGGAACAGAGAGAATTTTTTTTGTCTGTCGCCCAGACTGGAGTGCAGTGGCCGCTTCCAGCCACCGCAGCCTCGACCTGCTGGGCTCTGGTGATCCTTCCTCCTCAGCCTTCCGAGTAGCCGGAATTACAGGCATGTGCTACCACGCCCGGCTAATTTTTTGATTTATTGTAGAGATGAGGTCTCGCTGCCCCAGGCGGGTCTTGAACCCGAGCGCTCAGGCAATCCACTCACCTCAGCCTCCCAAAGGCGCGGGATTACAGGCTGAGCCACTGAGCCCGGCTACAGAAAGAATTTACCCACCACTACCTCTCTCAAGGTGTCCCTCTAAGGGAAAAGGGTCTACACGATATCTGCTTGGTGATACAAGGCTCACTCTGTATAAGGACGTCCCACCTAACAGAGAGGATCTTCTGGCGCTCGAACCAACAGCACTAAGGTCAATGACTTTGGATGATCAGTCCAGGTCCAATGAAAGAAACGAGATTAAGGGGAAACTGCAAGGTCAAGGGAAAACTCACTGTCTGAGGCCGTATAAGATTACCTGGTTTAACAACAACCAGAGCAAAATGGTCACTTGGGTCCACAGAAGAAGAGCTGAGATGGAGGGCTGGCCAAGCGCAAGCCCTGTGAGGGTAGGATTTGGAAAGCAGCGAAGAGTAGCCTCCACTGGGAGTCTAGAAACCCTGCTTCTCAGTGCTCACAGCCCCATCAGAGTCCGCTTAGAGAGAAAGGAGAAAAGTAGTTTGTGTCTCCCGGACCTGCCACTGCCGACTGCACTGAACATTGGAAACAAGATCTCGCAATAAAGAGGCAAAGAGCAAAGAAGAAGAAGAGAGACGGAGAAGTGGGTCTTTCTTGCAATTGTGAAAGGCAGTCTAACCTGCTTTTCCCTTAGACCTTCAGGCCACATCAAGGATTGGACAGAGATCATTAATTGCCAGAGGGATACTGGAGCTTGTCTGTGAAAGACAGAAAGGAGTTCTGATCCCTCATCCCCAAGGGAGGTGGTGATTGTGCGCCAAGCAGGAGAACTTCTGGTCTCACTGGGGAGCTGCCCCAGCCAGAGGTCATCCGTTGTCCCCTGGGCTTGTATGTGACACATTGAGGGTCTCAAGTTGGAGGAAACAGAGTGAGGTTTCCTGATCCCTATAGGGAGCACCAAATGACACAGGTAGCAACCAGTTGGCCGGAGTCACAGGCAGTGAAAAAATTCACCCAAGTCAGCTCGCAGTAGAGAAGGACAGGTTTGTGGAGTATGCTCCAAGACCACTGCAAGGCAGCAGCGAGCAGGGCAGCCATAGAAGAGCTGTTTGCCTCAAGCCAGCAGTTTAGGGTTCTTTTCATACAGAAACTGGCCTCTTTTTGTTTCCTGCCATTCAAGTAAGGGATTGAAACATGGCAATTCTGCTGGGCTCGGTGGCTCAGCCTGTAATCCCGCGCTTTGGGAGGCTGAGGTGAGCGGATTGCCTGAGTCCACAGGTTCGAGACCGCCTGGGCAACTTGGCGAGTCCTCATCTCTACAATAAATCAGAAAATCAGCCAAGCGTGGTAGCGCGCACCCTGTACTTCCAGCTACTTGGAAGGTTGAGGCGGAAAGATCGCTGGAGCCCAGCAGGCCGAGGCTGCGGTGGCCGGGAGCGGCCACTGCACTCCAGTCTGGGCGACAGAGTGAACTCCAACTCAAAAAAAAAAAAAGAAACATGGCACTTCTGATTGGTTGGTGTTCGACTTTGATTGCAGGCCACTCATTGGTCAGTTGGAGGTTAACACAAGATGGTGTCAAATAAAATGGCTTCCACAAGATACACTGTACATAGTTTTTAAAGGCCTTTCTGTTTTTCTCTTCAAATCCTGTTTCTAATTTTTTTTCAATAGACTAATACCTTTTTTAAAAAGTACTTAACAGCCGGGCTCGGTGGCTCAGCCTGTAATCCCGCGCCTTGGGAGGCTAAGGTGAGTGGAT